CACTTGTTCTTATCAGAGCAGCAGCCTGGATGTGAGCAGTGTAAACAGGTAAAGGAGCACGTACACAGCAGGAGGGAGCTGTGTCCATAGTATTGCCCCAGCGAGTACAGGTGCTGGTAACAGTGGAGACAGGACCATCACCAGCTCAGTAACTCAGTCTGGTTTTAACCCCAGTGAGCTCTGTATTTCACATTTGTTCAAAAGACAAGTTAGGCATCTGGGTTTTAAATTTCAACAGATGTGTTATGGCAGAGACCACTTTGATTTACAGGGTTTTCAGTGTATAAGTGTAGTCCTGCTCACATGCTTTGATGGCCAAGGCAGCTAATCTGAATTCAGTTTAAAACCCTCTTTGTTTCCATTCCTTATGTAAATATCCCTTGATGTAAACCTCATAATTGCTTCCCGTCCCAATGTGTGCTCAACACTCTTAATCTGTGTCTGTTCTTTTCTTCCTGGTTGATTACTCAGCAGTTTTTTCTCTCTCTCTGTCTTCTTACTTGTTTGGGCAAAACTGACCATGTCCTTAAATCTTATTTTAGGAAAAAAAAAATATAAAAATGTAAAACAATAAAAAAGCTCTGTCAAAGTACTTTTTGCTTTAGAGATGAAACTTGGACAGTTAAAGTAACTGCAAATTTGCTAACCAAGTTGCCAAACTAGCTGTCTCTGGGCTTACTAGGCAATTATATCTAACGTTTAAGAGGAAAGAACTTTTCCACAATATGCAATTAAAAAGAGGCTTCAATGTTTGAGGGAAGCAGAGAAGGCATTTGTTTTTAACTTCTGGCACACAAAAAAGTGCAGTTTTAATGTAAAAAGATGAGTTTTAACTTCCTCTGAAATATCTAATCTTAACTTTGCCTAATTGTCTGTAACTTGCATACCTGTAGATAAAATAATTCCCTGTTGTAAAGGGGATATGTTACACCTTCCATGCAGTTTTTTAATCAAAACTTACTATGTTTTACACTTTTTTCCAAAAGTCTGGATTCCTGTGCTGCACAGAGGCACAGAATTGTTCTGGTTGGAAGAGGCCTTTGAGATCGAGTCCTTTTTGAAACCACTGTTAAAATTACTTAGGAATATTAAAGAAACTTTTTCAGTATGCTTTCTTTTTTTTTTAACTGGGTTATTGAAACAGCAAATACACTTTGAATTGGTACACCCATAAAGAGCAGCTTAGCCTGTTCTTAAAATTAATTACTAAACATAAGGCTTCCAGCAGCCAACAGTGTGCAATTATTTCAGTATTTTTTAAATTATAAAGACTGTGTGCCAGCCTGTTTTCAAAGCTATGCATGTGTAATATCCAGTCACACGATTTCACACTGACCTAATTGTGTCTTCCAGTCTTTCAAATAAATTCAAAACAAAATTCCCTTCTTCAGTAATTCAGTTCTTTAATAAATGTATTTCATTGCTGAGAACAAGTCACTGTGAGTTAAGCTGGTGAGACACTCTAAAGATCTCTGGTGCTTTAGATGGCATTTTTCTTCTATTTATGCTCCTTGATTTTGTGGGGTAAGAAGCTCTTTTCCACCTCTTCCTTTACTGTGCTTCAACCAAAGCTGCTTTTCTCCCTACTCTTTCTCATGATTTGTTAAAATAAATGAGAACCCTCCCTTTCTGCGTTGCTTTTTCAGGATGTGTTTGTAGCATCAGGGCTCCTCTAAAATGTCTTCTTCTACACCCAAAAAATCTGGCGTATTAATTTGCTGTCTTGGATTAAAATGTCACTGAAGATGATGCTGTTGGGCCAAACAGCATCAGGGGAGGCTCCTGAGAAAGCACTCTAGTCAGAGGTGAAATTCAAAGAACTCAATCCCAAAAGGATGTGTGGACCAGCTTTCCTGCTGTGAGGTGGATTTATTTTAAGGCATGTTTGTTCAAACCTGCCTGAGTACAAACAATGGCAGATGCAATTATGGAGCTGAGCATAATTTATCTAATAACCTACACATAATGGTAGCATGTTATAAAAACAAACAAACCTGCCTGAGAGTAGAGGTTCAGTAAGTAATTCAGGCAAGTAAGTGAACGGTTTATTTTTAATGACAGTAAGATATTAATTCTGTATTATTCTCTATTGTATCTTTTCATACATCAAATAATTTGTCTTCTTAATTTCCAAGACAATTATACTTACATTATCATGCTGTGAGTGTCGGTTACACTGCCCTGCTCCCTCTGTCTCAGCTTTCAAACCTTGCAACTAATGTTCCTAAATTCCAAACTCTTGCAGGTTTCCTGGAAGCAGGTAGCAGCAGCTGAGGAAAAAATTGGCAATATGAACTTACTATAATTTAAATCAAAACAAAAACAGAACAGCAAAAAAGCCTCGACCTAGATCCAAACCAAACTGCTAAATATTTTTGAAGATGTGTGTAATTTTCTACTGCAGAAAAAAAAATTGAGAATTTATTCTCAGTCATTTGGAATGACAGATTCAACTGGAGGAAGTACTTGTTGCATTACAATTAATTTATAAAGCATACATGGTTTATAATAATCTCCCAGCTTATATTTTTGTTCGTAAAATGATAATTTATGACATAATTTGAAAACAATAATTGTACTTCTTTCCCTTGGAAAGGGGTCCAAAAGTCTAGTATGGTTAAAATCCTTGATGTTCACACACAATGGCCTGTTAGCATCTAGTTGTTGACAGAACTACTTATCTTAAATAAAGACATTTGCTTTTAGTATCATAGAATCCCAGACTGGTTTGGGTTGGAAGGGACCTTAAAGATCATCCATCCAGTTCCAAGCCCCTGCATGGACAGGGACACCTTCCACCAGCCCATGTTGATCCAAGCTCCATCCAACCTGCCACTTCTGGAATACCTGTGGAATTAGCAGTTTTGCAGTAACTGTCACAGTATAAAGGCTTTTGCTGCAGACTGCAGCCTCTAAAAAGAAAGCTGTCATACTCTGATCCGGTCGGCTTTTATATATCCTGGTTTGCATGGCATGCAGGGGGTAACACAGGCACTTGTTGAGCCTGCTTGTGCTGTTATCAGGTGGGAAGTTCCTACATAAAGCCTTTTGTACTCAAGGTAGAGATAGCAGCAGCTTATGCTAACATGTTGTTTTCCTTGTTGGAAGTCACATTGTGTGCAGAAAGTGACCTGAGAGCTGGGAAGTGGTATTTGATCTGCTTTGGGCCTCATCCAGCAGCTGACCCGAGGTGTGCAGAGAGGGCTGAGATTTGCCTGCACTCATTAGCCAACCCCTGGGCCAGAGCAGCTGAGCTGTGGGAGCCCTGAGGGGGAGAGGTCAGGCAGAGGTGGATGAACGGTTTTGCAGTAGCTTGTGATCTCAGAAGACAGTGAGGAAATAGCACAAAGGAGAGAACATGGCATGGGAGGGGTGCAGGAAGCAGCCTGGAAGTTGCATCCAGCAGGTAGTTTGGAGTCTTCAACAAGCCATTCATTTTCCAGTGGGTAATCTGCTGTAGAGGACTTTCTGATAGGTATCTACTGTAGTTAGTAAGGGATGTTGAGCTGAAAATGTGTTTTGAAAATGAACAGGAGAGAGTATATCTGGATATTTGTGATGACTGTTCTTAATATAAAAGCTGTTGTGGTTTAACCCTGGTTGGCAACACAGCTGCTCCCTCCCCCCCCTCTTCTCCCAGTGGAATGGGGAAGAAAGTGGGGGGAAAAGGTAAAACTCATGAGATGAGATAAAGGCAGTTTAATGGTACAGGAAAGGAAGATAATAATGAAAGATGATACAAAACACATGATGCAGCTGCTCACCACCTGCTGGCCAATGCCCAGTCCCTGATCGGCGATCACTGCCCCCCAGATCCCCCAGGTTGTTTGCTGAGATGATACAAAACACATGATGCAGCTGCTCATCACCTGCTGGCCAATGCCCAGTCCCTGATCAGCGATCACTGCCCCCTGCCCAGCTCCCCCAGGTTGTTTGCTCAGTATGATGTCCTATGAGGTGAAGATTCCTTTGGCCAGGCTGGGTCAGCTCTTCTGGCTGAGCTCTCTTGTGCACCATCCAGCCTCCTGCTAACAAGGCACGAGAAGCTGAGAGATCTTGGACTTGGTGTGTAGCAACAACTAAACCATCAGTGTGTTGTCAACGTTACTGTCATGCTAAATCCAAAACTAAACACTGTACCAGCTACTAGGAAGAAAATTAACTCTATCCCAGCTGACCCCAGGACAGCAGCACACAATTGCTTTCCTGTTAATGTTGAAGCTGTATGTTGTGTGCTGTCCACTTTCACCTCCATGCCCCCCAGAACCAAATCCTAAATTGAATTAACTTCAATGAGGGAAGATTGGGCTGCAAATGAAAGTGCTCTTACCCTCTTTCAGAAGTGATGTGCTGCATCTTTTAGTGATGTGTTTCTTCTTTTAGTGATCTGTGTCTTCTTTTAGTGATCTGTGTCTTCTTTTAATGATGTATTGCCTTTTAGTGAAGTGCTTTTTAGAATTACAGCCCCTGTCTGTAGACTTGATCTGGCCAAGTGAAAACAGAAGGAATACAGAAGCAGGTTTCTTTACATTTTAAATTCACTTACTAATTCAATAATTAATTTTCAGCCTTTTTCCTATGGTTGTGGTTTTTTTCCGTCTTCTTTTAGTGATCTGTGTCTTCTTTTAATCATGTGTTTCTTCCTTTTTTATTTTTTTATTTTAAACAAAGTAATACTTGACATGGAAAGTTAAACTTCATAGCCAGGGCGTACAGCAAACTTTGCAGTTAGAACATCAGTCACTCTTAATTGTCAAATTGAAGGGACAAAATAAAAATACCTCTTTTGCCTGGGACATGAATATTTACAGATCATGTAATAGTAAAGACTAAGCTTTTTGTAAACCATTTTCAGTACTTTGGAGAAATGGAAAGGAACTAGAGAGAAAACAAGTGTGGTGGCTTCGTTTGTAGTATAATGTATCTACGTATCAAAACCCAAATTATTTAATTTCTGAGTTTCAAAGATTCAAATATTTACATTGTCTCTTCACCCAGGTTCAAGATCCAGCCTGTATTATGGCTGGCAGTGGGTCTAAATCAGGACCAACTGGTGGGCTTTCCATGAAATCACAGCTTCAGATCACAGGTAAGCTTTTTTTGAAAGGTATCTTTTCCAGTTAGAAATGTGTTTTTCCACAATTAAACAGAAGTTGCTAGCATGCTGCATTTCAGGAAGTTTCAAGTAGCACCATAAATTTGATGGTGTTGCACCTTCATTCTGTGATTGAAATACAGCTTTTCTATTCAGGATTTTCTCTAAAATGCCTTTTGAAATGATACATTTTTGTGTAAAAAAAAAAAAAAAAAGGAAGGAGTGATTATTTTTTAATGCTGTTAAGTAAATTCTGTGGAACAGTCCTCTGAACTGTAATCATATAAGGCCATACTGCTTTCAGTTACTGGCACTAATATAGTTCCAACTCTTAACACTTTCTCCTGACAATATTTGTAAACTCAAGCTAAGTGAATCTGAACTTCTCTTCATTAAATCTGCTTCTCCCTTGTTACATATTTTTATGGCCACTATTGTACAGGAGCTTTAATAAAAGTGCTGATAAGGATATTACTGTAATTGATCCGCTGTAGGTTGCATAGGAATGGATTTACATGACATGTTTGCTTTTTGTAGTTCTCCACCAACTGAGCAGCTGTGGAAACTTAATTATCAACTTCTCCTCACTTTTGCTCTCTGACAAATTTTACTGAAGCATAAAAGCTGAAGCTTGGGAAGGGAAGATCTGTGGATATTACATAGAAGTATCAAGGCTAAATTTTGCACTCTGTTTGTAAGATCTGTGGGTATATGCAGAAGTTTCACAAAGTTGAGATTGTGGGGATGAAAAGAATTGTCAGAAATAGATGGGAAAGCTTTAGACCAGAAAGGAGATTGGGACTGAGCAAGTTACACTGGCACTAGGTGCCACACTGAGGTCACAAGCTAGTTTTTTCTGAGTAGGTTGTGAGACTTTAAAGGAACTCTTATCACTGCAGGTTGATACTGGAGAGGAAGAGGGAGATGTAGGGAAGGAGGCACATCCTCCACAGACCTACAGAGAGCAGAACAGGATGGAAGCAGTGGTTGTTCCCTAAGCCTTGCTCCTCCAAAGGCCTGTGACTTGTGTAAAGGAAGTGAAGCTGAAGAAATGTCTCAGTGTTTAGAATTGAGACGATTACAATGTTTGAAAGGTTCTTAATTTCTGTAGAAGTTCAGCCAGTCTGCAAGCGAACTATTTCCTGTGCCTTTTGGTAGACATTTCTGTAAACAACTCCCACACCTGCCCTACCCTCATCCCTCGGTTCTGCTGTCTTCAGTAGTTTTAAATGAACTTTTGGGTTATCTGGGCAAATAAGAACCTTAAAAGTAGGTACAGGAGTGATGATTTCTGCTGCCTCAAAGTAGGTCTTGATGCCTTTGAAGAAGCTGGTGATGTTGAGGTGTGCAGTGCTGTAGTACAGAAGTACTTTAGACATGAGGGGAAGGAAATGGGAGCTATTTGTGAAAATAATGTGAGCTAACTGAAGGTAGTTTCTATGAGATGGCTGTAGTATAGAGGCAAAGACTTTCCTCTGGGAGCAGTTCAGAGCAGTTTATACTAAGCTACTTCTGTAAATCTCTAAAGGAGCATAGACTATAAAGGGAACCTAGGTAGATTAGCCATATGGGCTTGAATTAGTCATCTTGTTTTAAGGATGTAGTGCAGCTGAGGTGGGTGACAAACACAGCAGACCAAGTTGTTATTTGCTAGAACAGAGTGGAGTTCACTGGCCAGTTAGAAATGATCATATCTTTAAGTACTGCTTTGTGACTTTAGAGAGCTACAAAGATGATTAAGGGAGTGGGACATCTCCCTTATGAGGAAAGGCTGAGGGAGCTGGGTCTCTTGAGCTTGGAGAAAAGGAGACTGAGGGGTGACCTCATCAATGTTTACAAATATGTAAGGGGTGAGTGTCAGGGAGATGGAGTTAGGCTTTTCTCAGTGATGACCAGTGATAGGACAAGGGGTAATGAGTGCAAATTGGAGCATAGGAGGTTCAAGATGAATATCTGAAAAAAATTTTTTACTGTGAGAGTGACAAAGATCTGAAAAAGGCTGCCCAGGGAGGTTGTGGAGTCTCTTTCACTGGAGACATTCAAAACCCACCTGGACACGTTCCTGTGTGATGTGCTCTGGGTGACCCTGCTCTGGCAGGGGGGTTGGACTAGATGATCTTTCAAAGTCCCTTCCAACCCCTAGGATTCTATGATTCTATGATTTAGTGTTGCCAAGGGAATCCAAGAACACTCCTAATGTGAGAGGCACATGTTGGGGTAGACTCATGCACACACATGTGGCTTTGGCTCATGGGGGAACACAGCAACAGCATTTGCAGAGACAGGAGCCTTGCAGTCATTTGTGTCGAATGGTAAAAAATACACCCCACCAATAAAACCCAAAACACACACACCAAATTAAAGCTCTAGAGCTACAAGTCAAAAATCCAAGTCCTTCAGTGTAAGAAGGACATGGAGCTGTTGGAGCGAGTTCAGAGGAGGCCACAGAGATGATGAGAGGGCTGGAGCAGCTCTGCTCTGGAGCCAGGCTGGGAGAGTTGGGGTGTTCAGCCTGGGGAAGAGAAGGCTCCAGGGAGACCTTAGAGCACCTTCCAGTGCCTGAAGGGGCTCCAGGAAAGCTGAGGAGGGACTTGGGACAAGGGTAGGGAGGGAGAGAACAAGGGGGGATGGATGAAAACTGGAAGAGGGGAGGTTTAGGTGAGAAATTGTTCTTTGCTGTGAGGGTGGTGAGACCCTGGCCCAGGTTGCCCAGAGAAGCTGTGGCTGCCCCATCCCTGACAGTGTTGAAGGGCAGGTTGGATGGGGCTTGGAGCAACCTGGGCTGGTGGGAGGTGTCCCTGCCCATGCAGGGGGTTGGAACTTTAAGGTCCCTTCCACCCTTCACCATTCCAGGATTCTGTGAAGTCCTGTCAGGTTCTGTTTTTTCTAGGCCAGTAGTTATTGCAATGCAAAGTTTCCCTTTGGTTAGCTTTTCTGTAAGTTTGCTTTGATACAGAAAACTTAACACAAAGTTCTTAATGATGTTTTTGTCCACAGAAGGAGTGGCAGCTTCCTGTGATTCCTTAGAGAGGGACAGGTTCTGTTTTGACCTTTTTAACAGGCAGGTCTGATAAAATCCAGGAATTCTCTTGTCTGGTGATAGAGAAGAGAAGCTTGTGAAGGGTTTTCTGCTTTCAACATTGAAGTGCTTTTGTGGATCTTATACTGTTTATTATGAATTATAGTGTCTGTTGTTACAGAAGAAATGTTAGATGTTTCAGGCATTTGTAGGAACTGTAGCATTGCATTATCAGGAAAGCCAGAGCATTTTTTATCAATCTAATGTATTTTTTTTTTCTTGACCATTGTTTTCAGGCATCAATGACCAGATACTTGAACACAGTACGCAGCTGAAAAATATTATTTGCAACTGAAAACTTAATGAGTAAATTATTGTTTTTCTCTTTCTTGACAGTTATTTCAGCAAAACTAAAAGAAAAGAATAAATGGTTTGGACCTAGCCCTTACGTGGAAGTGTCAGTAGATGGGCAGTCAAAGAAGACAGAAAAATGCAACAACACAAATAGTCCAAAGTGGAAACAGCATCTTACAGTGTAGGTTTTATGGCCTTTTTTTTTTCCAGTTTGCTTCAGCTAATTTGATACAATTGAATGTGGACTTAAGGTTTATGTTTTTAAGCAATGTATTCAGTGTTACATGATGGGGAACTATTTGTGTATTGTTTGGAGCAAACACACTACAGTCTGGAATATGTGTTGACAAACTATTGCATTAGTCTTGTGGAAAGGCCCCAGTTCTTCTGAAGGGAGAAATTCTGTATTCATGTATGTGATGTATCAAAGGAGCTTTCATTCTGTGAGTAGTAAGGAAAGCAAGGGCATTTGATATTAAAACTGACAGTCCCATGCATGTTTTTGTTACTGACAGAATCAGAGAATTGTTATTGTCAGAAAAGACCTCTTAAGATCACTGTGTCCAGCCTTCAACCCATCCCCCCCAAAACCAAATACAGATTGCCCACTAGAGCATGTCCTGAAGTGCCTCATGTACATGGTTTTTAAATACCTCCAGGGATGGTGACTCCACCACTGTCCTGGGCAGCCCATTCCAGTGCTTGACCACTCTTTCAATGTAGAAAATCTTCCTAATATCCAATTTAAACCTCCCCTGGCACATCTTGAGGCCATTTCCTCTTGTTCTGTTGTTTTTCACTTGGGAGAAGAGGCCAACACCCACCTTTCTCCAACCTATTCTCAGGCAGTTGTAGAGAGTAATTAGGTCTTCCCTCAGCCTCTCCTTACAGGACTTGGGCTCCAGCCCCTTCCCCAGCTTTGTTGCTCTTCTCTGGACATGGTCCAACAACTCAGTGTCCTTCTTGTTGTGAGAACTGACCCCAGGATTGGAGGTGCAGCCTCAACAGTGCCCAGCACAGGGGTTGCTAAGGGTTGGGTGTTTCAGAAGCACTGACTTAAGAGTGTAGCTGTTGTTTGTGTAGCACATTGTTGTGTATCAGCCCATAGCTCTTTCTGATAGTAAACCTGGAACCAATTCTCCAAAGACATAATCAGATTAGCACAGTGAAACATCCTACTCCTGGAAATGGTGAGGGAAGTTTTTGAATTGTGAAACGTGAAGATGTGGCACTGCAGGGCATGCTCTAGTGGCTGAGGTTGTGAGGCTCTTTGTGGGTGTTTTTTGGTGGAGTGTGTGTGGTTGGTTGTGTTTGTTTGGGATTTTTTGTGTTGATGGTTGGACTGGGTGATCTCAGAGGTCCTTTCCAACCATGATGATTCTGTGAATCTGTGTTCTTCTGATCTCAGTACATGGTTTGTGAAGCCAGAAGTGTACTAGGAAAATGTGACAGATTTTTGCATATATTTCTGCTTCTTTGTCATAGCATGATATAAGTATGTGCCAGCTTATTAGGGGAACAGGCATCTTCTAAAAATACTTGAACTAATTTTTAGTATTTCAGAGGACTTTCCTTTTTATGGGATGTCCTAAAATTTTTTTATAACTTCAGGAAGCAAATTTCCTGTCCTCCCTCTGCCACATTTAACTGACAGTTGAAGTAGATTAGTCATTTCCCCCCCTTCCCCTGCTAACAAATGCCCTTACACAGTGCTCATCTTTTTCTTTTCAGAATTGTCACTCCTGTAAGTAAACTAAACTTTCGAGTCTGGAGCCATCAAACATTAAAATCTGATGTCCTTCTGGGAAGTGCTGCTCTGGATATTCATGAGACTTTGAAATCAAACAGTATGAAACGTAAGTACAAGATTAACAGTACCTTGGAATGCTGCAAAATTCTGCAGGAATTCTCTGGAAATGAGTGCTGTGTGCAGCTCCATAGAGGGCCCTTAAGAGTTCCTTTTGTTGCTACAGATGGTGTTTATGAGCTTCCTCCTGCTTTTTCAGTGTAATTTATTTTTGTTACAGTCTGCTCTGGTGTAACTGAAAACATGATATTTTTCACTGTGTTAATATGGGCAAGAGTGAAAGCCTAATTAAAGAGTGTTTCCTTATATACAGCTTAAAAATGAAAACTCTGATGTGTTCCTGGAGCTAGACCAGGAATGTGTGAACTTATTTTTGGTCTAAATAATTGTATTATTTCATGCATATTAGAACTAGTTGGCCTTTAGGCAGTCTGTGCATCCTGTGAAGCTTGAAAGAGAAATACAGGATTCTCCACAGCCATTGCAGAATTTCTGTTGCTCCAGCACATAGCTTTGTGCTGCCATACATCTGGTCTGTCCTTTGTGTTTGCTTCTGGACTGTCAGATGTGAGCACTGGAACTGTAACATGTTGATAACAGGGCAATAACCTGTTCTCCTGACAGAGTGTTCTAGTCCTACTGCATCTGGGTGAACATCACCTTGAGTAACTACCTTGTTCTGTCTGACACCAGGTACCCTGCTGTAATTCACTGGGTTTTCATAAAATCCTAGAATGGTTTGGGTTGGAAGGGACCTTAAAGGTTATTCACATCCAACCCCCTTCCTGGGGAGGGACACCTCTCACCAGCCCAGGCTGCTCCAAGCCCCATCCAACCTGCCCTTCAACACTGCCAGGGATGGGGCAGCCACAGCTTCTCTGGGCAGCCTGGGCCAGGCTCTCACCACCCTCACAGGGAAGAATTTCTTCCTCATGTCTCATCTAAATCTCCCCTCTTCCACTTTTAATCCATCCCCCCTCATCATCTCCCTCCCTGCCCTTGTCCCAAGTCCCTCCCCAGCTTTCCTGGAGCCCCTTCAGGCACTGAAAGGTGCTCTAAGGTCTCCCTGGAGCCTTCTCATCTTGTTCCAAACCATTTCACAAGAATTTGCAGTTCTGTTTCTTTGCAACCCTGAAAATAAGTTTGGTCTGGGGATATGATGCAGAATCTTGATATTCTAAATGTGAATCATCTTAATGTGAAATATTTTAATTAGAAGATATAATTATTATTTTCTTTGTGTGAACAACAAGGTGAATTACATTTCCTAACTCTGTAGGGGTTTGAGGACAGGTGCATTAGGCTTTAGAAGCGTGGGCAGCAATGTGAGGCTCAACCTCTGCTGTAATGATAATCCTTTCTTTAGGCAGCACAAGCTTATGCTGCAGTTTTCCCCTTTTTCTAGAAATAATAACTTTTAACTGACATCTGGAAGTGATTAGTTTTACCACACAACATAAAAAAAAATATGGAGAGACAGAGCTGCAGTTCTGGGTATGTTTGGGGTGGTTTTTTCCTTTGATTACTGGTCTATGATTGTCTTCTTGAATAAAATGTACATGGTAAGAGAAACCCTCATTCTTCTCTGTTCTTTTTCAGTTGAGCAGGTAGTGGTGACACTGCATCTTGCTGGTGACAGAGAACCAACAGAAGTGGTGGGGGATTTATCTGTCTGTCTAGATGGGATGCAGGTTGATCCTGAGCTCCTCACCAATGGTGAAGCCTCAGGTACAAGAAGTAAGTAACTTCCAATTCAAATGTGCCCTCTGCATACATCTGGTATACACACATTTCTTCTAGAAGCTTTAACACAACTTTTTAATCATCATCATAACAGCAGTTTCTGTAACTTCCTGTTTATAGAGGCCAGACCTCTTACGCATTTTGATGTGAGGTGAAGTCATAGTGCACAGTAATGATTTTCAGCCTTATTGTAATGAAAATAAGGTCAGCATCTTTATTTTCTGGACTTGCTAACAAGCAATCCCAAACTGTAATGAAAGTCTCTATCTTCCCTGAATGTTTAATAACATCATAAACAGAAAAGAATATAAAATAAGTTAGTTTGGTGATACTACTATCATAATGATTAGTTCTGCTCACTTAGAACATGTGGCTTTATATTAGTTTTTTCTTAAAATAACTCATTTAAATAAATATTTTCATAGATTTTGTTCCCTGTGGAGTGTTGCAGTGAAGACTGCAGTGAAGTGCTGCTCAACTGTTTATTTGGTGTCTTCAGTTGCAGATAACTAATATCATTTTAAACTGAAAATCTTAAATACACACGAAAATAAAAAGTATGGGGTTTTCATTCCATTGGTGCAGAACAGGCAACAGTATTTTTGAGGGCATTGTACATTGCAAAGTAGAATGATGTGATTTCTCCAGAAGGCAGCATGGAAGAGACTATCTGATATAGCAACTAACAAGGCAGTTAATTGGTAATGTTTAGGTTTTTTTAGAGGACTGGAGGAAGTTGCTTTAAGATTCTGTCTAAGGATCACAGGAAAATTGAATGAACACATTATTAACCATTATTAAAGCTTGAGTCCATCTTTCTTTGCATCTTGTTGAAAGAATCAATCACATGATCTGATAGTGTGGAATTTTTTGGTAAATAAAAGCTGGGTTTGTAAGGCAGGGCTGAGGTGTTCATAGAAAGACCCAGTAAAAGTAACAGATTTGCCTCTTAGGCAATGCTTGGTTTTCCTCTGTGCTTTCTTCCATTTCCTGAAATTCACCTACTGAGAAAAAGGTACTAGCAAGTAGGAAGAGGCAGGGAGATGGGGGATTGAGTGCTGGAGACAACCTGGGGATTGGCAGATATTGACATAGCAAGCCTGAAGTTCAGCAGAGAAGTTCACAGAATGGTTGGGGTTGGAAGGGACCTCTGGAGATTGAGTCCAATTCCTGCCAGAGCAGGATCCCCTAGCGCAGGTCACACAGGAACGCAGATCTTGAAAGTCTCAGAGAAGGAGACTCCACAATCTCTCTGGGCAGCCTGTCCCAAGGTTGGACATCCTCACAGGAAAGAAGTTCTTCCTCATGTTGAGGTGGAACTTCCTGTGTTCCAGTTTGTGTCCATTGCCCTTTGTCCTATCACAGGCACCACTGAAAGAGACTGGCCCCTCCTTCTTGACACCCTCCCCTCAAATATTCGTAAACATTGATAACATCCCCTCTCAGTCTTCTCCAGATGCTGCTCAACTGTTTATTTGGTGTCTTCAGTTGCAGATAACTAATATCATTTTAAACTGAAAATCTTAAATACACACGAAAATAAAAAGTATGGGGTTTTCATTCCATTGGTGCAGAACAGGCAACAGTATTTTTGAGGGCATTGTACATTGCAAAGTAGAATGATGTGATTTCTCCAGAAGGCAGCATGGAAGAGACTATCTGATATAGCAACTAACAAGGCAGTTAATTGGTAATGTTTAGGTTTTTTTAGAGGACTGGAGGAAGTTGCTTTAAGATTCTGTCTAAGGATCACAGGAAAATTGAATGAACACATTATTAACCATTATTAAAGCTTGAGTCCATCTTTCTTTGCATCTTGTTGAAAGAATCAATCACATGATCTGATGGTGTGGAATTTTTTGGTAAATAAAAGCTGGGTTTGTAAGGCAGGGCTGAGGTGTTCATAGAAAGACCCAGTAAAAGTAACAGATTTGCCTCTTAGGCAATGCTTGGTTTTCCTCTGTGCTTTCTTCCATTTCCTGAAATTCACCTACTGAGAAAAAGGTACTAGCAAGTAGGAAGAGGCAGGGAGATGGGGGATTGAGTGCTGGAGACAACCTGGGGATTGGCAGATATTGACATAGCAAGCCTGAAGTTCAGCAGAGAAGTTCACAGAATGGTTGGGGTTGGAAGGGACCTCTGGAGATTGAGTCCAATTCCTGCCAGAGCAGGATCCCCCAGCGCAGGTCACACAGGAATGCAGATCTTGAAAGTCTCAGAGAAGGAGACTCCACAATCTCTCTGGGCAGCCTGTCCCAAGGCTGGACATCCTCACAGGAAAGAAGTTCTTCCTCATGTTGAGGTGGAACTTCCTGTGTTCCAGTTTGTGTCCATTGCCCTTTGTCCTATCACAGGCACCACTGAAAGAGACTGGCCCCTCCTTCTTGACACCCTCCCCTCAAATATTCGTAAACATTGATAACATCCCCTCTCAGTCTTCTCCAGACTAAACAGCCCCAGGTCTCTCAGCCTTTCCCAGATAATGAGGGGAGTGGAGCACATGAGGAAAGAGTTAAATCTTACAGTAGTCCAACACATTCTTATTGTACAGGTTAGAGGCACATACAGGAAAATACCTTGTTTATTGAGTAGCTTTATAAAATTAAGATTTCTGCTTCTGTGATTAAACTCACTTCCATGCCCAGCCCAGTGACAGCACTTGAGCAGAAGCCTTTATATGACTAAATCTTTGTCTTTGGCTTAGCTTTCTACATAGTTCCTATCAGAATTGATAAAACTGAGTACTTTGTTAATGACATTTGTTTAATTCTATGGAAATGAGGTATTTGTGCTGTCTACATGAATGAGCAGTTCTGTGCTGCATATTCAAGTATTGCAAATGCTGGCACAGAAGGCAAATACTTCCAAGCTGCCTGAATAAGCAGTTGCAAAACGTTTGCAAATGGAGGCTGAGCTGCTGTAATTTTCTTTGGAGTGCAGCCATGTTTTGTACCTGCTTAAATGCCTTTATGCTAAATAATTTACAGAGAAAGGGAAGGGTCCAGGCTAGAGAGCCCCAGAAGACAAAGCCTCTGTGGTTACTTGCTAGCCAACCAGAAAGAAGATTTGGGAGGAGTTGTTGCCTTTCCTGCTCTGCCTGTCATCACTGAAAAAGCAGAGGATATGAAAAACCAGCTCCAGTTGAGGAGTGGAGAAAACTGCTTGATACTGCTGCAAAGACAGGAGATGATGCTGTTGAACTCTGTGTGTTTGGAAACATTCATACAGTCAAATGCTAGCCTGGTCTGTCTTCCATGAAGTGAAAATATTACTCACAGTGGCAGTGGTTTAAAGAAAATGTATATGGACACATAGAGACGTGTCAAATGTGTGCAGGTTCAAAACAAGGCAGGAGATAAGCAGCACACAGTGTGCCACCTCTCCATTGGAAAGAAAAGGGAGCATTAAAGACTGCTGCTTTTTTTGGAGATGATTCAGAATGTTGCTTATACTTCTGTTGTCTTTTTCTTTCTGGTATTTAAGGTCCTACACAGAATGACAGCTCGAAAGTAAAGAATGATACACGGTAAGACTTGTTTTCCTCTTTTTCATGCTACCTTTTAGGGTGTGCAGTTTTGAAAGAGTTGCATGCTTGATTAAGAAGGCAATTTAGCTTTGTTAAGAAGATAACCAAAAGCTGTCCAGCAGTTGCAGTGCTTTGAAGTTGGTATCAGATTGTGTAGCTTGCTGCTTGGGAGGATGAAAGTGTGACCATACTTGATGGTGGATTAACCTGCAGTGAGCAAAATGCCATTGTAATTAGTTCCCAGTACTACCAGTATTTCGAAGGATCTGTACAATGTCCAACACTCTTGGATGGCAGTGGGAGTCTCCCAAGTTAAATTTAACTGTTTTTTTAATAGGTAGTAACTGTCTTAGTTATGTTGTCTAAAGTCTTCCCATGAGAGTTTATTTTTGTTCTGTTTCATTTTTGTGCTCAGAAGAATGTTTCCATGCTTGGCTATTCAAAATGTCTGGGTGTGTAATAGTATCATAGAATCATAATCTTAGAATGCCAGGTTGGAAGGTACCTCAAGGATCATCTGGTGACAGATGTTGTTCTTCACATTGTTTCAGTTCTGGAGCCCTCAATAGAAGAGGGACATGGACCTGTTAGAACATGTCCAGAGAAGGGACACAAAAATGATCCAAGGGCTGGAGCAGCTCTGCTCTGGAGACAGGCTGGGCGAGAGTTGGGATTGTTTAGCTTGGAGAAGAGAAGGCTCCAGGGAGACCTTAGAGCACCTTCCAGTGCCTGAAGAGGCTCCAGGAAAGCTGGGGAGGGACCTGGGACAAGGGCAGGGAGTGAGAGGACAAGGGGGGATGGATTAAAACTGGAAGAGGGAGATTTAGGTGAGAGATGAGGAGCAAATTCCTAGGTTGCCCAGGGAAGCTGTGGCTGCCCCATCCCTGGTAGTGTTGAAGGGCAGGTTGGGTGGGGCTTGGAGCAACCTGGGCTGGTGGGAGGTTTCCCTGCCCATGCAGGGGGTTGGAACTGGATGATCTTTAAGGTTCCTTCCAACCCAGCACAGTCTCTGTTATATCAGTTGAGGTTTCTTACACCTCAGGAGATCAGTATGTTTACAGAGATGTAGGTCTTTATCCTTACTACAGAGGTAAGTATCTCACCTAGTTATAACTGTGCCATTCTAGTGTCTTCCCTAAAGTTTCATACCATCCATACACCATTAGAACACTTCTCCTTTCTGTCTCTTTCTGCAAAAGAACTAACTCAAATGGCCTTGAAAGCTGTGAAGATGCTGTTCCCAGTGAAAAAAAGACTGTTAATGGCAGTGATTCTCCCTTACTCACAAATGGAAACTGCAAACCTCCTAGACCTCCCAGGCCTTCTAGACCACCTCCACCCACACCCCGCAGACCCACCTCCATAGCTGGTACGTGTGCCAGGGCCTTTATTCCTGTTTTCAAACAAATAGAGCTGTTTCTGATATTTATTTTTAATCATTATTTATATTACTAGAAATGTCTTGCTTTCGTATCTGTTAAGTGACGATTGTAGTGATGCAGCTACATGTAGTGGAGCTGGGCCCAAAAGAGCTGAAGGGAACCAAAGCACTAAGACAGAGTTTGAGGCTTGAGATGAAATCTTCTGAGGGAGTCAGAGGACTAGCTCCAGTTGATAGTATTTGGGTTTGAAATACTAGTTACATGTTTCTACAGTTGCAGTTCATTCTGTGAAAAAGCAGCACTAAAGAGAGTAATTGTTGGGGTTTTTTTACTGAAAGTCATAGGGTTTTTAAACATTTTATCTGATTATTTCAAAACTACATAACTTACAGGACAAGTAGTCCTAAAAAGTTAGTTGATATTTTTAGGGTAACCCCTGCACCCCCATAAACTGCAACATGTGTCAGTATTCTCATCATTACACTTGATAAATGCTGAGTCTGATGGGAAACTGCAATGCAGGAATTGCTTTGAAAGATTAACCCAATGTAGTTCAGTTATAAGGCCTGACATAAATAAGCCTTTTAGTCCCACCCACCAAATGGCACTCAGAAAAATGGAAAACATTTAAAGAATTATTATCATGAGTGATCATTAATACCAGAATGATTATTATTACTGTTATCAGAATAATTATTACCATTCTATGAAGGTGTTTATTTCCTTCCCATTCCAATAATTTCTTTCACATCTCTTCTTGAAAATGTTATGCTGATTATCTCTTAAATTATTATGCCAAATAATAAATGGAAAAATAATTAACTCATCAATGCAAGAGTTCTTGTTTAAAATTGCTTAGACTTTACAGAATGCAGACAACTTTCTTCAGTGAATTTGATTTATTCTGCCAGAAAGACCACAATTGTGCCATTGGTGGCAGTTCTTGGATTAAAGCATTTTTACAAATTGAGATGAAATTGCTTTTTAGTTTCTATGTAAGCTCTAAAATGTGGCTATATTCATGCATTTTGAAATGCCAGTTCTTGCATGCTTCCTTTTGTGATTTACAACTTCTAAAGTGGATTGGTGAGAAATACACTTACCAGCTCTTTTTGGTCTTTGGTATCTCTGACATCATAGCAAGTGTAAATGGTCCCTCCTCCACGAGCACTGAAAATGATGGAGCCAGTGCAGGATCACTGGCAGGTACAGCTTCAAACACACCTTCAGAGCAGAGCCCTGAGGGGGCAACAGCTGCAACTACAGCTGCAACTACAGCTGCAACAACAGCTCCTGCAACAGCACCTGCAACAACAGCTCCTGCCACTGCCACACTCATCACACCTCCAGTGTCAAAACAAATCCAGCCAGTAAACCCTTCACCTCAGGCCACAGTCAGTCAAGGTCCTCTTCCACCTGGGTATGAGTTTAATGATTGATCTGTGTGTTTGTGTGCTGATATTTCTGAGTTTATGTTACTTACAGTAGGTGTAACAAAACATTATAATACCTGCTTTTTGCTGCAGAACAGAAATCCCCTCCAATCTTAATGTGGTGACTGTTTTGTGAGGTAGGCCACTGGTTTATTCAAGAAAACAATCTTCCAGATATTTTTGGTACTTACTCATACATTCCCATGTCAGGGAAACATAGAAGTTGTAAATGGTGTGACAGCTGCTGTCTTCAAATTGGCATGAAGTCAGGGAGTGAAATACTGGTATAGGTAAGAGAAGAGCTGTGATGTGTCCTGAAGTTTTGGACTTCATACTCCTGGGAGCAGTGTGGGCACACTGTTGTGTTTCAGGTACATGCAGACTTTGCCAGATGGTTGGTCTGTTGCCTCAAAGCTCTTATTTAGGTTCTAAATTTAAAATTTATATATTTCTAACCTCTTTGAGTGAAGGAAGCAGAAGCTGCCCAGTGTGAAAGGTGTAAACAATGAAGCATCTGCCTTAATTTGTTGAACCAAAAGTAGGAAAGGTCTGAATGAGCTCACTTACGGGAGAACTATGAAATACAAAAGCAGTCTTGAAAACATTGGTTGTAGCTTTACCATTTCCATTTCAACAGAATTGGCAAATTATGAGGCTTTTTTCCCCACAACACAGGGTTGGTGCAAACACAGGCGTCAGGCCCTATCCTAAATGCTGTATATGCAGAAAATACATGACCAGTGCCCTTATGATGAACTCTGGATATATGTGATCTGTGCAAAATGTGCATTTGTTGAGGATTTAGATGCACTTGATATTGAATGCAAAACCTTTCTTCATTGCTTGCTAAGATTTTATGCTTAGGCATGAGTTTTAACTTCAGTTTCCCAGAAACTGTTGGTGTTCATGTAGACCATTTTTTTGTGTTCTAGTCAGCATAAAATTAACATAAACATTGTACCACTGTGTATTGTACAGCATTTTGGGACATCTCATGAACCAAGTGTTAGTTTCAAGCATTTCATTTAGAAATAAGCATTTTATGATAACAAATATTTCTCATCTTTATACTGTAGATGAATGGTTAGAGTAGTTTCATCTGGAGGAAGATAAAAATACTGTTTTCTTTTCAGTTGGGAGCAAAGAGTAGACCAACATGGTCGTGTGTACTATGTAGATCATGTTGAGAAGAGAACAACGTGGGATCGACCAGAGCCTCTTCCTCCAAGGTGAGTCAGGATAAGTCATATGAATGTCTAGGATATGTCTGGATTTTTTTAGGGTACGTCTAGATATTTTTTTTAATTAATTGACTGACAGTTTACTGAAGCTGGAAATCATCTTTGTAACTAGAGGTGTGAAAGCCAGTGCAAAGAATTTGCTCCAGGTTGTCTCCAAGGAGTTCTGCAAAAATGCACCCTGCAGAGCCTCCATTCCTGGAGGTGTTTAGGAGAGCTGTAGATGTGGTGCTGTTTTTTAAGCACTGGACTTGGTAGGGTTGGGTTAATGGTTGGTAGAGTGAGGTTATGTTTGGACTGGATGATCTTAAAGATCTTTTCCAACCAGAGTGAGTATGGAAAAGAGTTGAATGTCAAAAATAACAGAATCTGAGTTTCCTGTCAAAGATTGAGCAAGTGCATCTTTTATTGATAAACTATTTAAGAACATAGACACCTTCAACTGTAAAAGAACCAAAACCACAGAAAAGTAGTTTGGGGTTGAGGTAACCATCAGCTTGAGCTTAGTCTTGAGGTTGCTGTTTGCAGTCTTTTGATCTTGTCTCTGCCAATTTACTGCCCTCTTCCAAACCAGCTTTGAATATTAGGATTTTCCAACTGTCAGCATCAGCACACCCAGTTCACAGTTGTGCTGAGTTTCTTACTTTTTAAAGAATGGAACAAAACCAGAGGAATTATTCTGTTGCACTTAATTCAGCCTCAAGTGATTCACATCCTTGTATGAATTACTGGCTGGAATAGTAAAGAACAGGTGGAATAGTGAAGAACTTCATATTAAATAGTAAAAACAGGCAGACAGTCTCATAAAGAGGCCCTACCTGTCATAATCAATTTATTTTGAACTCTGAGAGAACTGACTAGTATTTTAGTTACACTTACTCAGAATGGTGGTGTTTTCACTCCAGTTTGGTAAATGGTATTGATTTCATACTAAATGAAAACAATTAAAAGAAACAAACCAAAACCAAACCGAAACCCATGCCTCCACCTTCCTTTTCTGCCAGATTAGAGTGTCAGGAAATCCTGCATTGCACAGCCCAAACTCTCAGGGTTTTTCCTGGCTCTTTAGGAGAAATCAGCAGGCTGTTCCTCCTGGGTCGGGTGGGATAAATGCAGTGATGACAGCACAGTTTTGACAGAGCTTTGTGTAAACTTGAGAACTATTTCAAAAAATTCTGAGACTACAGTTTGACTCTGACTTGATGTAATAGGCAACAAAGTAAAACTGATTCTCCTCAAAAAATTGTAGCTCTGATATAGTTTTAGTGGAAGATTAAAGGGGAAAAAGTTGCCAGCTGAGCCCATGCTTGATGTCCACTTCCAATGTACTGCCTGTTTGCCTGAAAGTGCTTCTGAGCCCTTAAAATCAACTGTTGTTGAGAAACATTGCTTGTAATTTATTTTTCTTCAAAGCTGGGAGCGACGAGTTGACAACATGGGGAGAATTTATTACGTTGACCATTTCACCAGAACCACAACGTGGCAGAGACCAACCTTGGAGTCAGTGCGGAACTACGAGCAGTGGCAGCTGCAGCGCAGCCAGCTGCAGGGAGCCATGCAGCAGTTCAACCAGAGGTTCATCTATGGGGTAAGGAAAGGAATGCTCACCATAAAGGTGAAGTTAAGAGATCTTATGCAAATTTTCAACCCATTCGTCTCTCTTCTGCATGTTGAAAGTGTGGATGTGTTTGAGTTTGGGGCTGTTCCCCGTGAGGATACGGGATCGCACAGAATCACAGAATGGGTGGGGTTGGATGGGACCTCAAAAGATCATCTAGTCCACCCCCCTGCCAGAGCAGGATCCTCTGGAGTAGCTCATACAGGAACGTGTCTAGGTCTGTTTGGAATGTCCCCAGAGAAGGAGACTCCACACCTCCCTCGACAGCCCATACCAGCCTTTGTTATCATTTACTGTTTATGATAATGTTGTATCTTTGTGTGTGTAGCATGACAGGAAATAAGAATTGGTAACCTTCTTGCAGGCAGCACATGCAGTGTTGGGGTTTTATTTGCCGAGTGAATATAAGTGGTGTTCTCTGATAAAATTTATGTACAATGTGGATAAAAGGCATTGGTTCAAAACAAACTACAGCTTAGTAATAAGGTGAGTTGTTTGTATAGTGTCTGGTATTGGCTTCACCAAAGACCTGACAGGAAAGCAAGCTCACAGGACATGTATTTCTGCTTTGGGTAAAATGAAATAATATTATGAAAGCAGGGAAGTTGAACATAATCCTTCCAAGGTTTTAAACCCATTGCTGACCTGTGATGAAAGTAGACTTTAGAGAACTAACTCATGCTATGAGTTTATCAGGAGTAGTGTAGGTGTGTGTTTGCTGTGGGCATAGAGAATGGACCTCAAATGATGGTAGGTAGGGGGAACTGTACTGCACACAGGCATGGAGTGGTTTGCCTTCTGATTGCTTTGGGTGCTGCTGTACTAAGTTCCCTTCTGTGTAGGCAGGGGACCTAAACAAAGGATAATTATTTTCCTGGCACTGGAGTTAATGAAGCTTGCCAAGATCTGTGAAACAGGCAGTGTCTGTGGAGAGAAAGAAATTGTTGGCATCTTCGCTTAGATGTAAAATTAACCAAAATGCATTTACTTCAATAATTGATGATGGCTATGGCAGAACTTCTGGAGAGCAAATGACTAGTCATTAATGCACCATTTGTTTGTCTGACTTGCAGAACCAGGATTTTTCATCCACACAGAACAAAGAGTTTGATCCTCTTGGCCCTCTGCCGTCTGGATGGGGTAAGGCTGCCTGGGAAGTGTTTGGTAGTGCAGTGTAATTAAACATTAAAGCCTACTCCTGCCAAATTATTTTGTCAGCTGTTCTAGGCTAGTTTTTTTTAAGTTAAAATATGGATGAAAAAAAATTTAAAAATTAAAGCCAAGAGTCCTTACATGGATGGGTGGTTTCAAAGTCTGGTTCCCTCCCTGTAGCTGTCATAAACAGCCTCTTTGACACTGTCACCCTTTTTTTGTACCCCTTCCATTAGGCAGGATTCCTTCTGCATTAAGTGCAGCTTTGCACTGAGGTGATGGGGTAATTTCCTTATCATTATGAGTAGTCAGGAGTCTGAAGATGGGTTCCTGTTTGTGACATAACCTCTTAAGGAATAATGTTAGTGAAAAACAAAAAGATGTTGAGTTAAAGGAGGTACAGAGAAATCTGAAGACAGTGGAGGTTGTGGCAGGGTCTGCTGATGGATTTTTTTTATTATTTTTTTTTAATTTGATGTAGTCTCAGCAATGCATTAAGAAGGTATTGATGTTTTTTCCTCTTTCCTTTCCAGAAAAGAGAACTGACAGCAATGGCAGGGTGTATTTTGTCAATCACAACACACGAATTACTCAGTGGGAAGATCCCAGGAGTCAAGGGTAAGAAATCAGTTGCAGCTTCAAGTCTGAAATGGAAAAGTAACAAAATTAGTGAGAGTGAGAGCTAGGAAACATGAACTGTCCTATACAAGCTTCAGACAGCCCAGTAACATTTTTAAAGGTACTAACCAAAGGAAAGTCTTGGTCAACAGCAAGATGTGGAAAACACTGTTCTGTGGAGAACACAGCCCAGTGACCAAGTGTGCTGGCTCCACAGTTACAAATGTGTTCTCACTGTGTGGGTGTGTGGAGGGAGTCACTCTGAGAGCACTTCAGAGTGATACTACTCAGGGCTTCCACTTACATGGAGATCTGTTTTTATTTATACTAAAATTGAGTTGGAAGTTCTTCAAAGCTTAGGCAAGATCAGTATTTCCATTCTCTTCTATCTTTGTCATTCAGAAATAAGTTTTTGACCACTGTGATTTTACATGAGGTACCAAAAGCTACTTAGTCAAATTATATTGGTTTTTTGAGGAAAAAAACTAATAGAAGATAATACCTTTTTGTTTGAGTGGGGAAAAAAATGGATAAACCCTTGCATTTTTCCCTTAAGTTTCTATTTGCTGTTGTTCCAGGTAGTGCAACCACATGAGTTAATATTTATTTAAACAGTCATTGGGGTCTCATTGAGAGCTGATGTGAAAATTTAAGAGGGGGGTAAAAAGGTAGAATAAATATTGAATGGAAAATGTATCAACCTGTAGTGTTTCTAGATCTGCCAAAACTTGTACTGTCTCAGGTATTGTTCCAATTGACCTTAAGGCATCAAGTTGATCAGATACCTTGTATTTTCTTGTATCCATAGTCAATTAAATGAGAAGCCCTTACCAGAAGGCTGGGAAATGAGATTCACTGTGGATGGCATTCCCTATTTTGTGGATCACAACAGAAGAACTACCACCTACATAGACCCCCGCACGGGCAAGTCTGCTCTGTAAGTGTTTTTAACTGAGATTTCAAAAGAGAAGCTCAGCATGGATCATTCTAGCAAGTCTTTCTTTCCCTTGTTACATTTTTTTATGCAGAATGTTTAACATCTAGAAATGCTGCTCAGTTCCCTGGATGTTTTCACCCACTGTTGACTGTCCCTCCAGCAGCAGTGTTCTGAGCACTTCACAGTCCTCCTTGCCAAGTACTGTGTAAGATTGGAGAGTAGTGGAGGAGCTTCATCAGTGCTGAGGACCAGATCCCTTCCAGTTACTAGTCTTTCTGTATAAAAGTACACCCAACCCTTTCTTTCTTTGATTCTTAGGACCCAGAATGAAGTTAAAACCAGAATTTAACTCCCAACTTAAATTAACTGAATGTCATCCCATCCTTGTTGTTAGAATCTTTTCTTTCTTTCTTTGATTCTTAGGACCCAGAATGCAGTTAAAACCATAAGTTTACTCCCAATTAAATTAACTGAATGTCATCCCATCCTTGTGGTTAGAATCTTTCCCACACTTCATAATCAGATACTGTTTCAGAAGCAGTGTATGCACCCCACCATCTACAATGGAAGATTTTTTTTGTTTCTTTGTTTGAAAACAAGAAAATTACACCCTAAAATTAAAAAATGTGAATAAGAATCTTCATAGAATCACTTGGGTTGGAAAAGACCTTCAAGGTCATCAAGTCCAACCATTAACCCTACACTCCCAAGTCCATCACTCAGCCATGTCCCCAAGCACCACATCTAGACAACTTTTAAAAATATCCAGGGATGGTGACTCAACCACCTCCCTGGGCAGCAGGTTTCAATGTCTGACAAGCCTTGCAGTGAAAAAGTTCTTCCTCATGTCTTGTCTAAAGCTCCCCTGGTGCATCTTGAGGCCATTTCCTCTTGTTTTGTCACCAGTTACTTTGAGAAGAGACCAGCACCTGCCTCTCTACAGTGTCCTTTCAGGCAATTGCAGAGGGTGAAGAAGTCTCCCTCAGACTATTTTCTTCAGACTAAACATCCCCAGTACCCTCAGCTGCTCCTCCAAAGGCTTGTTCTCAAGGCCCCTCACCAGCTTTCTTGCCCTTCTTTGGACACACTCCAGTAGCCCAATGTCCTTGTATTGAGGTGCCCAAAACTGGACACCGTATTCCAGGTGTGGCCTCACCAGTACTGAGTACAGGGGGGCAATCACCTCCCTGCTCCTGCTGGCCACACTATTTCCATTACAGGCCAGGATTCCATTCTTGGCCACCTGGACACCCTATTGGCTCATGTCCAGCTGCCTGTCAGTCAGGACCCCCAGGTCCCTTTCTGCTGGACAGGTTTTCAGCGCTCTTCCCCAAGCCTGTAGGGTTGTATCTTTCAACTAGATAACCAAAGAAACAACACAACTATACAATGAATACATTTGCAGGGGTTTTACTTACAAAAACACTTTTGGAATTAATTTTTTCTCCTTTTGGTTCCAGAGACAATGGACCCCAGATAGCTTATGTGCGTGACTTCAAGGCAAAGGTCCATTATTTCAGATTCTGGTGTCAGGTATGGATTCATTCCGTGGGAGTCTTTGCTTGCTTTTTTGGGCTTTGCTTCCATGCTTTAAATGAACCCCTTGCAAGTAAAGGTAATCAAATTGCTGTGAGGTCAAGGTGAGTTAAATTAAGGGGGAGTAAATACAGGATTTGTATAAACTCCTGTTAGCTTTAAAGGCATCCCAGCTATGGCTTTAAAACTTTTTAGAATAAAGGAAAACATCAATTTAGCTACTTCCTTTTGAAGTGGTGCATTATCAGAATAGAGTTTCCTTTCTGCTGTTACTAAGGGAATATATGGAGGTACAGTATTTTTACAGGTAATGCAAGATCTACTCTATGCACAAATGTTTTTGGAAGACAGTGCAGGACAGTTGGCCCAGAACATGTCTGAACATTGTAGAATATACTGTGATGCATGTTTGTGTGCTCTGACATGACAGCAAGTTCCAGTGTGTCAGTCTTGGGTCCTCTAAACTCCATGTGTATCAAAAGATTAAGTACCTTGGTGTTTAGGAAAAAGTTGGGTTTAAATATTACCATTTTCAAGAGTGAATGAATTGTCCTTTGAAGAACAGAGGAAGGACTAGCCTAGTTTTTCACTTATAATTTTGTGCAGAATAACCTAAATTTTCTAAGTTTTTATTAAATTCTGAGCTAGAAAGCCTTGCTGACTTAGAGTGTGTTACTGATGTTGATGTTTTCTGATGTCTTGTACAAGTGCAGTATTTGAACCTGTTCCAAGCAGGACTGGAGGCACATGCACCTCACTCTAGGTAGCAGAATTGGAAGTAATTTATTCTTGGAGTAAATACAATTTAAATGTCTTGGTAACTGGGTTTTTTTTATATGGATTAGTGAAATTTAGCCTCTGAAATCAATCTGTACAACAAATAACAAAATCAGTTTTAGGAACTTCAAGTGATTGTGCATTTCACCTCTGAAACATTTCATTTCAGCAACTGGGGATGCCACAGCACATAAAGATCACAGTGAGCAGAAAAACATTATTTGAGGACTCATTTCAACAGGTAGAGTATTAAAATGTGTTAGTAGTGGGCATGAAAAGTTGTGTTGATTAAATTTACTGACACATGTCATTCCTGACCCTTTGACATCTTGCTAATGTTATTTTAAGTGAGACTAACAAAAAAACAATACTGGTTCAATAGTAAGGATACATTCATATTTGTATATTAAAAAGGTCATGCTAAAATATGAATTTCTGGCTCTAAAGACTCATTTATTTGAGAGGTGATTTTTTTCACAAGGAAGAATTTCTCCCTAATGTCCAACCTAAATCTCCCCTCTTCCAGTTTTAATCCAAAATGTAAAATCCTCTAATTTGAGACTATTTCCAAGACAAATTCCATACTTCGGTCTTAAAGTATCACATAATTAATTGTCCTGGTAATCAGTGCCCATTGCAGGATAGTTTAGCAAAAAAAGAAAGTAAGTATTATGCCTTCTTGTTGACCTTTAAAATGTAAGGCAACACATTTCACATCTAATTTTCCAGTTCCAACGATAAGGCTGTATATCTCCTGAGGTATCACTATGTTCCCAACATATTTTAAAATCTCTAGTGAAATTACAAGCAAAGCAGACATCTAGGAGCTTTGAAAATGCAAACTTTGATGCATATTCTGTGCCTCTCATTGCAAACCAAAAACTTAAGGTTCTTGGACACCCAGAAGTGTTCTGTGAAATTTCTTGATGTAAATCTCCAGCACTTGACCCAATTAGCATAACTGCAGATCTGGTCATTACATTAAAACCATCATTAGTTAAAAGTTCCTTAGCATCTATGATTCCTCCTAATTCTTCTAAAATAAACTAGTTACATTTTTATCATCCCCTTTAGGAGATGTGAAATTGAAGGTTTATTATTGTTTTGTTTCTAATTTATTTCCCTGAGTCCTTGGTCATGTCTCTTCATTACTTGCAACTGGGATGCAAGTTAACAAACACCCAGTTTACTCATGTGGGCCTGTTATTTATTGGCTGGATTTCTGTTACATTCTTACAGACCCACTGCTGGCCTGAGTATTCCCAGTCTTTGCTTTCAGAATTATTATTTATTTTTCTTTTCTGTCTTCTGCTTTTGGATCTATGGAAATAAGTTTGCAATAGCACTTCACATTCCATGAACATTCCATAAGCAGGTGCTTCACCTACTTGTGGTTCATTTGATGGTCTGAATTTTTGTTGCTGTTGTTGTTATTATATTATGGTCTGAATTATTACTGCATTTCTTGATAGCAGATGATAAGAAGTCTAGCTAGTGCTTATAGCTGATTTATTAAAAAGAATTGATTGTTTTTCTTTTACTAAGATAATGAGCTTCAGCCCTCAGGATCTACGGAGACGTTTATGGGTTATTTTCCCTGGTGAAGAAGGCTTAGATTATGGAGGTGTTGCAAGGTAAACTAAACTGAAATAGCAATTCATATCTTTTTCTGGTTGGTGTGAAGACTTCCCCAAACAGATACTTGAACTGCAGGGCTTAGTAAAGTTTATTCCTTACCTTTCCTCAGAATATCTAAGGAAGACACTTCCCTAGGGTGTGTGCATGCCTTAAAACTGTACAATTATTTTCAGCTTGCATTAGGAATTACTTTAATTGTCTCAGTGATTGAAGAGGTCTTACTCTAGTTTACTGAGCTACAGTGAGTCTTTGGCACAACCATGAATACTGAAGTAGAGGTTTATGGAAAAAGTGAATAGAAATCTACTTTCAAGTCCCAAGTCTTTACTGGAATGTAACTGAGAAATGCATATATTAATTAGCATTCCCTAAAACCCTGAAGTTTCAATCAGTGATAGACTTTTGATCTGCTCATTTGGAGAAGAGTGTGTTTTAGCCAAACCACTGACAGTTGGATATATATCACTGTAACTTTGCTAGTCATTCCAAGCTGTGTCAGTTTCAAATTGTGCTCAGTTGGGTCTAATGTACTTTCTGGTAAAGAAGTCAGATTGATTCCCTATGTGCCAATGAATTCCCAGGTCACCAGGAATTAGCTGAAGTAATCTCTAATTTAATTTATTTTGAAATGTGTTTTTATTGTTTGTGTGATTTCAGGGAGTGGTTCTTTCTATTGTCACATGAAGTTTTGAACCCAATGTATTGCCTGTTTGAATATGCAGGGAAAGATAACTACTGCTTACAGATAAACCCAGCCTCTTACATTAATCCAGACCACCTGAAATACTTCCGATTTATTGGAAGATTCATTGCCATGGTAAGTTGAAAAGCAGGAAGTTCCCTCATGTAATTTCCCTGGAAGTAAATATTGCACCCTGAGATGGACCAATTCCTTTTTGAGTTGAAACTCTTTATCCAGTGTTTGGCTGTAAAGACTGGTAGTGTAAGTTAATTCAGCATGTTCACAGTCATGATATTCTAGGTTGGTTTAACTCTTTACCTGACAGATTTCAGAGGTGCAGAGTCCAGAATGTTGTCAGACATTCAGTCATCCTTTGCATGACCTTGTTTTTGTGTTCCTCAGGCTCTGTTCCATGGGAAGTTCATTGACACTGGTTTCTCTCTGCCCTTCTATAAACGGATGCTAAACAAGCCAGTAGGACTCAAGGATTTAGAATCTGTTGACCCAGAGTTTTACAACTCTCTCATCTGGGTAAAGTGAGTTTGACTTGATTTTGTTCTTGAAGTAGCAACACAATGGTTTTGATCTTCACTTCTGTCAGGAAGTAGGTATAAATTTGTTATTAAAAACCCAACTGAAAAATGTACCAATTCCAGAGCAGTGCTGGAATTTTTACTGTGACTTCAGATGCACAAATATAATAGTTTCATAATGCCTTTCTGGTCCATTGAATATTCTGCACAGCAGAATATTGGATATGGATATTAGGAAGAACTTCATTACTATGAGGGTGGTGAAGCACTGGAGCAGGTTGCCCAGAGGTGGTGGAGGTTCCATCCCATGAGACATTCAACGTCAGGCTTGGTGGGGCTCTGAGCAACCTGATCTAGTTACAGAGGACCCTGCAGCAGGGGCTGGACTGGGTGACCTTGAGAGGTCCCTTCCAACCCCACATGCTCTATGGTTCTATGATTTTTGCTGTTTTGTAATAAATCCAGGCAGACATTACACAGACGTGGCAATCTTGAACACTGTTACAGATAAAATGGCTTGAGTAAAATTCTGAAACTTTTCAGAAAACAGATCAAAAGAAATCAGCAAAAATCCACTCAGTGTTTCTCTACTACCTGGCTTAGTTAGAAAACTAAATGCCTAGTGCTAGAATAATGTAAAGTTAACAAATGTAGTTTATTATTTACTACCACAGTTCTCCTGTTAGTCGTACCTGAGACTTTACTGAAAGGTTAACATTGAAGGTGTAATGATTTAAAGAAGTTAATGCTCATGCATTTTTCTAGCTGTCCTTGATTTTTTTACTCCAATCTGAATGTTTCCATGGATGGATTGTCAATCATCTTGTTTGCTCTGCATTCTTGTTTCTGAGTCCTTCTCCACCCCTTTGCAGATGCCTCTAATTAAAAAAAAGACTACAACAAACCCTTACCTCTAAAGGGTTGTAATTCTGTACTTTTTTATAATAGCAGGACTCCAAGGTGTCCTAGTCCATAGTTGATGTGCTCCATTTGTTTCGGTAACAGAGGTGATTTTCCCTTTCCAGCAGCTTAAAAATCAGTAAAATTAGAAGGGAAAGACAAAAAGACAAAATTCAGGGTGTTTGGGGTTTATTTTTACTGCCATAGTAAAAATTTATCAGAAAAATTAGCATTCATTCTGTGACTAGAATCATGCAAAACCAGAATAGCTTTTAAAATGCTTTGAGAAATTGGTAAAGGGTGTGGGAATAGATTGGTTTTTAAATGCAGAAATAAATATAACAGACAAGATTGTCACCTCCTGTTGTGGTGAATCTCAGAGGTGTTACCCTGAACAACAAGGAGGGGGGAAAGCAGCTTTCGGAGATGTTCACAAATGGAGAGAGGGATTTTGGTTTGGCTTTCAAAGAGCTGTATGTTCTGTACTCGATGTATGTGCTGCTAAAAGGTGTGGTAAGATGAAATTCCATTGGGAATTGTCATAGTTGCTATTTGAGTAAAAATACCATGAAACTGAGACCCAAAAGGGAAGAAAAGGTCTGAAAGCTGGAAGTCCAGATTTCTGTAACTAAGGAATCCTGTTATCCTGTTTTGTAGCCAGAAGTCTGAAAGGTTTTTATCCAGAGTTTCCACATCCTTAATTTCTAAGATAATTCCTCTTTAGCAGGAGCATTTGTACTTTGTTATCTTAGGAGCTTGGGATGTTTTAGTATAAATTAGCAAGAAATTCCCATAAATATACTGGAGTCAAGGATAAGTCATTAAGCATGCAAAGTCCTTCTTAGTAGTTTCTTCCCTGCTGTTACCTGACCAAGTGGCAGCTTTAGCCTTTTAGCACAGTCCTTGCATTGCCTGTAAGAAGCAGCAATAAATACACAGTGAAAGATGCAAAAATTGTCACTGCCTGCAGTGTGTCTGTATTGCACAGATCATGGCTAGCAGGTAGTTTGTCAGCCTTGAGATGGGTAAATTCAAGAGTTCTCTTGATTCAAAATTTCTGATCAGGGGTACAATTCATAGGCAAAATGAGTCAGTGCATCTTGCAAAGCTGTAATTTCCACATAAGGAGCAGTTCCTTGTCTTGGTTATTTAGCTCCAAACTGTTATTTCTTAAGCTTCCTCGTACCCATCTCCTCTACTGACTACAAAGCCTTGACATAGTTATTCAAAATGTTGTTTTTTCCTTCCAGAGAGAATAATATTGAAGAATGTGGCTTGGAAATGTTTTTCTCAGTTGATAAAGAAATCCTAGGTGAAATCAAAAGCCATGATTTGAAGCCAAATGGTAGCAACATTCTCGTCACAGAAGAAAACAAGGAAGAGTATATTAGGTAAGAATAAATGAAGATTTATAAATACTCTTATCTCTGTCATTTGTTTTCTTTAGTTCTAGCAAGACAAGATTGTCAAAATATGTAACCTGAAGCATTGCTGATACTCTGTTTCTGAGTTCTTGCTGATGTTGACAACGAGTGACAATTATTTGGATATAATATTTGAAAACAGGCTTTTTGAAATCCACTTTTCCCAAAGGTTACAGTCAGTAGAAGGTCCACTTTTTTTCCTAGGTGTATGTAAGTTTAGAGGAACATCACAACATAAATGTGAATGGCAGGCATTTCATGAAATTGTTGCATGTGGTTATTACTGGACTGACTTTGCTTCATAGCATAAAAGCAAGTAAAGAATAAAAATGTGAATGGTGACCTGCTTTGTCCTGGAAATGTCCCTTTCTTCCTCAATATGCAGCAGCACATAAGCTCGGCTTTAAGGCTTGACCTTCAACATCTAATCTGGGAGGATGTGCTTGCAATAAAAAACAAAAGTCACACTTTGCAGGCACAAAATGACCTGAGTCACAGTGGAATTGTCCTCACTTTCCTACCATGTGTTCTGTGAAAGCTTCTCTTATGCAAATGGATGAGGGAGAAGGGAGTGGATTTTGGTCCCATGAGTAATCTGAAGGCACTGCAGTGATTCACAGAAAAGGTGGTGTTAGCAGCAAAAACACACTGGCATCTTGCAGTTGTGCAGAGTATGGATATTGGGGTTGAAAATAGGAAGGATCTGCAGAAAACCATTCTCTTCTAGTTTCTAGGAACCCAGGGAGAGATCAGCTTCTGGATTTACTCACATTCTTTTGTCTTATTCTGAGTCCTGCTTCAAGTCCCCAAAGTTTCTAGGGTTGAAATCAGAAAATAGCCATCTCTCCTGTAGACTCCAGTTCTCCTGACAGGTTAGGCTTGAATTCAGCATAATATCTGCTTCTCCCTGGGTTCAGGTTCTTCGGGTCTCCTGCCTGCTTTTCACCCTTTTATTATTGGAGAGTGGAGTTTCTGCCACAGAGCAAAGTTTCATGATTAACAGAAACAAATATGGAACTTTCCAAATGGACATAGTCGTTTCTTGGTAAGCTAGCAGTCCTACTTCTCTTCACCAGTACAACTTGACCTAGTTTTTACCTTTTCATGGATAATGACTGAGATTTCTGGGGAGAATATTAGACAAATATAGCTCTGCATTTTTTCTCTTTCCTCAAATAACCTAGGGACTGCTGTGCTCTCATTAATATGATCAGTGAAGAGATGCTGCCTCCTCTGAGTCTAAAATACTTTCTGTAGCAGAGTGGTTGGAAACAGGGTTTTAACTTCAAGAAAAAACAAAATCATTTGCACAAAGTAAAGGTTACTAAGAATTATACAGTGCTGTATCCCCAGAACTTTCCAGACTTTCCATTTTGATTTTTTTTAACTTAGCTTACAGCTCATCTCAAAATAGGCTAACAAAGACTTGGTTGTGCACAAGCCACTTAGATGATCTTTCTGTATCTTCTTTTACAGGTTAGTAGCAGAATGGAGACTTTCCCGAGGTGTTGAGGAGCAGACACAGGCTTTCTTTGAAGGCTTCAATGAAATTCTGCCACAACAGTATTTGCAGTATTTTGATGCTAAGGAACTGGAGGTGAGAGGTTTGGCTCTTGCTAGATCAAGATTGTTACACAGAAAAAACTTAACTCCAGCCATGATGTCTGATGAGCAGAACTCACTAAGGCTGACAGCTGTTTTACAGAGCACATGAGGGAAACTTGGAGTAGTAGTTGGTTAGTGTGTTTCCCTTCACTTGCCTGTTTGCACCCCCCTCACCCACTTCTAAAGATTTAGCCAGTAGAAATTCCTTCTCAAATTGCTTTTGTAACCCTCAGAAATTTGATTTCCCTGTGTTCAAAGAGTAATTTGACAAAAAGGGAGATAAAAGCAGATACACAACAAATGATTGCATAGGGACAGGGACAGGTTCTAGATGGTTTTGGTCTCTCAAGGTTACATGTTCTGAAGCATCTGTTCAATTTAAAATACAAAACCATAAACATTTAGGAAAAAAATCTTTAGTATGAGGCTGTTGAGAGCCTGGCCCACGTTGCCCAGGGAAGCTGTGGCTGCCCCATCCCTGGCAGTGTTGAAGGGCAGGTTGGATGGGGCTTGGAGCAACCTGGGCTGGTGGGAGGTGTCCCTGCCCATGCAGGGAGTTGGATCTAGATGATCTTTAAGGTCCCTTCCAACCCAAACCAATCTGGGATTCTATGATAAAACAAAACCATCCTTTTCCTAGTAGAGAATTGTATGGCTGGGCAATGATGAACTGTTCCTGGTTCCAGTGTCTAAATGCAACCACCATTCCATGTCCATTGCAGGGATGTCTGTTGTGGCCTGTCCAAGCCCCCTTCCCTGCAGTCAGCATTCCTTGCTCCAGCACATTTGGATAAAGTTTACAATTCCAATCAAGTGCACTGTCACTGCAGCTGCTTCTAACTCTGGGTGCAGCTGATTTTGCTGCGTGGGAAGGCAAGTCATAACTTGTCCTCATGTGTCTGTTTCCCTTTTTCTGCCCTAAAGGTGCTTCTGTGTGGAATGCAAGAAATTGACCTGAACGACTGGCAGAGACACACCATCTACAGGCACTACACCAGGACCAGCAGGCAGATCCTCTGGTTCTGGCAGGTCTGTACCCTTGGGTTTATTCTCAGACCAACAGGAGTGCCAGAGCAGGGCTCCAGCTTAACTAACAGCAGTCAGAATTCCTGATAAAAACTTAAAATGTTACTGCTAACCCAGCTACTTGTCACAGTTGTGTTCATTTGTTAATCTGTGGGTGATGATGAGGTGAAAATCTGGGTATTTAAGCTCTGACCTGAAGGTTTATTTCAATTGTTTTTCAGTTTGTAAAAGAAATAGATAATGAGAAGAGGATGAGACTCTTGCAGTTTGTCACTGGAACATGCAGATTACCCGTGGGAGGATTTGTTGACCTCATGGGTATGCATTAATCCCTCTCATGCATTAGATACATTTTTTTTAAAGGACCAATTTACATGTTTATGGACGTTTTTAATGAATTTTATATTTAATGCAATTTTGTAATTCCTGCCTATACTTGAGCTGTGATGGAAGAAGAGATGGGGTGAAATCATAGAACAGTTTGGGTTTGTTTTGGGAGAGTTTGCAGTTGTATTGAGTTGCAAAACCACTTCAAATGTGTCCATTCCCCACATGCAGACCTGGCTCTAGATGCCTTTTTTCCCCTGGGAGGGCTGGTGACCTTACCCTGTGCCCAGTCCTCTCACACTGCAGCTCTGGTGTTCTCCCTGCTGATCCAGAGGGAGCCAGATCCATGCCTTGTGTCTTTGAATTTGTTACAGGGAGCAACGGCCCCCAGAAGTTTTGTATTGAAAAAGTTGGAAAGGAAAATTGGTTACCTAGGAGTCACACCTGGTGAGTATGTAACAAACCAGAAGGTGCCTGTTGCTCTGGGGTTGCTGCCAATGATCTGCTGGGAGATGTTAATGCAAGGGCAATGCAGCTGAGATGCTGGAGGCTGTGGGAAAGCAAACACCCCCTTGTGCCAGTGAACTTCCTTGTTGAGTAACAGCTGAACTTCTAAAAACTCTTGTGGGATGGAGTGGGTTCCATTGTAAATGTCATGGATTTGGGGTGTTGCTGAAAATGTAAAGTATTAAACAGTGGTGTCTGAAGAAGCTGTCACTGCAAAAGATCATCTTGGTAGTGAAGTAGCACATTCACACCCCCCCCCAGAGGAAAAGTTTCTTCTGCTCAGTTCCTCAGGGTATTAGTGGTTAGTAAAAACACACACATTTAAAATTTCAGGTGTGAATGATGACTCTAATTAACCAACTGGGAAAAGTGAGTGAAACTTCTTACCAAGTGCACTGCATCTCTAGAAAACTATCACTGTTCAGTGTTTGAACTTTAACTCCATCAATTTCTGTCAGCAGTCAGCTTTCCACAGGCTGCAAATCCAGGCATCCATCTACCCAGCAAAAAGTGTAATTACCCATATTGATAATGGACTTTTTGTGATGCTTTCATTATTTTTCAGTGCTTAAGTGTTTTCTTTACTTCCAGTTTCAATCGCTTAGACCTTCCACCCTATAAGAATTACGAGCAGTTGAAGGAAAAGCTGTTGTTTGCAATTGAAGAAACAGAAGGATTTGGGCAAGAGTAACTGAAATTTGCACCTTGAAGAATGTGAACTCAACACAGTGTATGTTCTTCACTTCTGCTTGTTGCACACTTCATTGTAAAGTAGACTTGACTTGGACTTATTTAACAGTACTAATGTGTAAGTGAATGGATGTTATCCTGAGGTTTTACCCACATTAACTCTGGATTTCTACTGAGCACTTTCAGAAATCAAATAAGCAATCAGATATGGCTACAAATGAAGTATGACCTAAGTAGAGGTTTAATACAGCTTTGGGCTCTGCTTTGTTTTACCATTCATTAAATAGAATGACTGAATGACTTGACAGATTTTTAACAATAGTTTTGTCTTTCCTTTTTAGTAGCATTTTTTGCTACTGATGCACTGGGAAGTTCATTGGTAGCTGCAATGCTGCAGCATCATCCTCAGCCTCTTCACAGCAGTGTTAGCAGAGCCAGCTGGTGACCACCCTCTGTGTCCCCTCAGCACATTCATGGATTAAGCTCTTTTTTCTAACTCAAGTGTGGCCAGACTGTTTTTGTTCCCTGCCTGGAGTCTGCTCACATGCCAGCTGGACTCAAGCTGCTGTTAAGGGGATGTCAAACCGTGGCACAAATCCAGGGCCTAGCTTTGCTTGGTTTATTTTTTTTCCCCAATCTTGCTAATTTCAGCAAAATAGCCACCTGCCCAAAGTTGCTGAACGTTTCTGTGTGCCCTCAGAAGAATTCTCATCTATTCTCTGTGTAACTCCTGTTAACTCTTCAATCAATGCTAACACTGTGGTACTGCACTTGGGTTGCAAAAGACAAGACCACCTGGGATTGCACTGATTCCATGTAGATTCCTGTTTGCTGACTGATGTTTCCTGTCCAAGTGTGAATGGACATTGTTGTCAGTGTTACCCCTACGTGCTGCAGGCAGTTTGCTCTGAAGACCTGACTGGGTTCTCAGGAGGTACAAACCAGCTGGATTCAGAAAATGACAATAGCTGTCATTATTGCTGATGAACTGACACATGATACTGAGCAAGGCCAAGAGGATTAGGAAGTTCAGACACGGATTACAGATTTTTGAAAAGCTGGAGCATCAATAAATTGTTCTATAAAGACTGAAACTAAAGATTTTGGGGAAGGTTTCTAAGCTGATTGGCCCAAAGTTGCTTACAGCCAGTAACTTTTGTAGTGAGTTCCTATGGATTAGTAACATCTTTTAGTACCTTTTAGAAGCTGTTAATATTAAATTCCTTTCTGGTTTACAGCAACATTTTGCATTTTACTGCTCCTTTTAGACTGAATGCACTTTTTGGGTCTGGTCAGATCTTTCCCTGGCTGAAGGGAGGAAAGCAAACTTGGATGAGATGAGCACTTGGCCACTGCAGCAGACGTGACTCTTGAAGCAGCACGTAGCACATAGTGAAGCCCCAACCACAGGAGCTGTTGCTGAGAGGCTTCTAGATACCAGAGCTGAAACTGGACAGTGGGAAACTGCAAAACTCAACTTCCAGTCTTGAAAAGAATCTTTCTTTCCCACTGTCCCTTCTGTCTGAACAATAAGTGAGAAAAACTGACTCAGGCCTAAGAAGAGCGACGAGACTCCAGTTTTTAACTGACTTCAAGGGTTTTTCAGGTCTTAGAGTGACACGTGCTATTGGAAGGCAGAACCACCAGGCTGTGCAGTGCCCAGCTCATTTGTCAGGCATGTTCTAAGACAGGCATGGGAAAGAGTTTTCTGCTGATGCAGAAATTCCAGTTCCATTGATGGTCAGAACTGTAACCTGACTTTGTGGTTTTACTAGGAGGAGAACCTGCCAACTTCAAACCATTTGAAGGATAAATCACAGTACCCAGCTCATGAGGAGGGAGAAAAAAAAAAGCCTTATACATATTTTCTGTTTATATTAATTCTTACAATGAAATGTAGTTATCTAACATATTTACAAGAGATTAAATTAAGCAAGATAATGGAAGATTAAGCTATGAAAAATAGTCCGTGTTCTGCCTAATGCTTTATGATTCATGTAGGGAACCTAGAAATACTGTTAATGTATAAATATCACCCAAAAGGCTCTCAGCCCTATATTTTTAAAATAAAGAATAGTTATAATTGAAATAGCCTTAGCCCTAGTTCTATAGGGTATGGCTGTTTAATATTTTTATGGTTGAAATGTTTAGTTCAGGAAAAAAAAAAGTTAACTGCTTGTATATATTTTTGCAGTCTGGGATTCCACTTATTCCATTTTTCTTTAATTTAAGTGGCATGTTTATTATGTCTTTTTCTGCTGTATTAGGATGGGAAAAAGGGGGCTGGATATCCCAAGCACCAGATAGGATTTTAAAATATTGCAAAGAGAGAATTTATTGGGGGGGAGGGGAGTGAAGAAATAATGTGAAACTTTGGATTTGACCAAAATACTAAAAACAAAATGAAAGCAACTTCAGTGTGTTGAATTGGCAATGTTTCTGCAGAGGGCAGGACCACTGAGGCATTTTACGGAGCCAGCACTGGGAATGCTGACAAACCTGGGAAGTTTGAACAGCATGTTGTGTAGACATAAAAAGGAATTAATATAAACCACTGGTGCACTTTGTGGGAATCTGGTGAGAACAACCTGAGGGGGAACCCAGAGCTTCTGGTTTCCCAGGTAACAGGTTGTTGTGAATTGGATTTACAAGTAAGATTTTTTGCAGCAGAGATGAATGAATTTGTCTCCCACTACTTCAACTGATGTAGCAGCCTGAGCTCATACACAATATGTCATCAGTGTGTATTCACATGCAACTGTCAACTGATCCTAATTTTCAAGTAGCAAAAGAGCTTTTCTTTCAATTTTTGCCTTATGAGAAAACCTGACCTGAGAAAACTCGACACTGAGCTGCTGATCTGAGATGATTAACAAAGCCTTATTGTTCTGGGTAGCTCAGGAAATGTTCATCTACTAATGAAATGCACAGTAAATGCATCACATCTTCATCTGATCTAGTGTGGAAGTTGGGCTTGGGTTGTTTTTTTAATCCAGTTGCTTGTGTTTAAATAAAGCATTTTTATTATTCTAAGTCAAACAGGCAAAAAAAAAAAGGCTTAATTTTTTGTTTGTTTGTTTGCATTTTGATGACCTGCTGCACTGGATTTGTGATCTCAGCTCTGTTCTGTTGGTATCTCCAGCCCCCTTGTTGTGGTGTCTTTTAATTTTCTTCAAGAGTCACTGTTTGTGTCTTCGTGCTCTAGAGAACTCCTGTATAAACTGGGATCAGCAGCACTGGATTGTAAAATACTGTACTGAAATTCATTGTTGAAATTTCCTTGCATTGTAATTTCAAATACTCAGGTAACTGTAACAGTATCTCAGTTAAGTCAAATACTTTTATAAAACTCCTTAAAGAGCTGGTGGTGTCATTGTTATTCCTGC